ACCTAGAAAACCCTGATAATCTGTTGAATCGAAGGCTAGTGGAGAACTTCGCTTTTAAACTTCCAACTCCATGAATTCGAGAGTCGGCCCGCAAAGGTGTGATGGGGGACCAGCCAAGGCCCAAGACACACCTAAACGAAGGTTAACGCCACGGATGGTTGGCGACAAGAACACACTTTTACCGCGATTCTGCCTGACATGTCACACTACGGATCCCGCTAGATGAACAAACAAACCTTTACATGCCACATAGTGTCAAACCGTAGGCGACCTCACACAGAGATACCAAGTAATAACTTAAATAAAGAAAAAAATCTTAACCGAAGTCCCAATGCAAGGTTCATGCAAAGATTCCCCCAGCATTGGCCATTCGCACTGGCAGCTATTGTAGAACGGGCTGGCATACCATTTGTGATGGGCGGTGGGCGTGCGACCATGCCACCATCTTGTCGCGGGGCCTGGTGTTACTTGCTTCTTTCTCTCTCTTTTCTGGGTCTCTGCATCGCCATCCACTCACCATATGGGAAGGGGGTCCGTTTAGATGATGTTCAGGCTCTCACCCTCCAGAGAGGCAAGACGACGACATCCAGAAGGGCTCAATCCACTCCCCAGTTGACCTGTTTGGGTGGTCCCTGCGAGTTCGAGCCTGAGACTGTGCATTGTGAGAATGTGGGGAGCGATGGGATGGAGGTCCAGTGGAAGTGTGAGGCGGACTTGCCGAAAGACATCAAGTTTGCAGGCACACAGGTGACCTGCGAGGTGAGGGTCAAGTGTGCTCCTGGTGTCTTTTTTATTCTCTTCTAGGCACCTTTTGGTGTGATCATAGTGCAAAAGTAGTTCTGAAGATTCAAAAACATCTTAATGTTGCAAGAGAACAGCGGCGGTATCCGTGCGATGCAGAGGTGGTGGTCGTGAGTCTCATTTGTTTCCTCATTTGGCTACTTTTGTTCAAGCAGCATTCAGCATATACCCCTTGAAGTGAAACATTTCGAAGAATGTCCAAAAGATTTACAGTGGCCTTCCAACATTCATTTGCAATGCCGTGGTTTGAGGGTACCATGTCAAGCACCATTTTCGGTGCTACCTGGGGTGCTTTTCAACCTACAGGCTTGTGCTCTCGAATTCCATTCGGCCCACCCATAAGGTTGCGAGTTTTGAATTCGTTCCAGACAAGGCCTAAAACAAAGGCGGATCCGCCACTCAATCAGACTAAATAGGATTTGCCTCCGGCTAGCCAATCAATTGGCTGATTGTGTCCAGTTCGGATTCAAGTGTCCTTCCTGAGCTCTTGCGTCTAAACGCTAAATAATGCCACCTCATTTCAGGGCTATGCTCATCCTGACGATGAGCGCGTCCTTGAAGGGAGCTGCGCCCTCGAGTACTCCCTGAGAAGAGTTGGAGGTGTGTGGGGCAGATGCAAATCTGAGAGCCAAGCTTTTCGAGTCTGCTCTGATTGCTTATGCTGTGGACTTTCCGTTGAGGCATCACAATACTCTGACACATGCCCTGTTCCAATATGCCCCAAGTGACATTGTACGCTTTTGTCTTGTTTCGAAATGAGAAGAAAGGGGACCAATTCAGTCAACATACAGGAGAAATAAAGAAAGCCTTTTTTGCGGTGCAGGTGGAGGCTGGCTAAGCTGGGACTCCTTTGGCGGGGACTATTACGGCGCTGGCAACAGTGTGAGTTCTCGGTGGCGCATCATGACATCATTTGTGCTAGCCTTATGCTGATTAACATGCCTTCTGAGGATTGGTCAGATTGAGCAACAGGACTTTCTCTCAAAGCAGTCAAGAGTAAGAAGGTGGCAGTCTTGATTCGTCTGACATTGCCATATCAGGGGGAGGTACGGTCCATTTTTGACAGGTTTTTAATGTCTTAGAGAGCAGAAGGTTTCAATTTCCGTTCAAAACGACGGCCTGGTTCCTTCCTGACATTGTGCAGGCCATGCCTTTCCAATTTGAGAAGAGGGACCAGACGTTGCCATACTTGCTCCACAGATGCTGGTGCACGAGCGTGACGAACGAGTTACAATTAATCATCAATAGAACGGAAGTCCGACCGTCTTACAACGATCAACAGCAAAGCTGGGCATCATTCTGACCTCGCCAGATTAAGAAAGGCACACCTGCAGTTCTCGTGATTCCTCTCCGTGGAACCCGTGACCCTGACAATCACTTCAATCAGGTTGTCTTGCTTTGAGCCTTGGACACGCCTTCTGTACAGGGGAGCTCTGAACCGCGGCGAACGAGTGCCTGGGCCGGCGTAGCGCAGTTGATAACCCTCGTCCTCGTCATTTACTGTGGATACCACTTGGGGAGAGCCTGCCGGCAAGGTGTGTTTGGTCTGCTTGATGTGTGCGTGCAGTGTCGGTCACGGAGATTGCTGTTATGAGGCAATTGTACAAAGTTTCATTCGAAGGTCCACAAGGCGGCATGTGGATAAGGAATCCACTCGCAACTTGTTAGGACGTGATATTAGGTACGAGATATGACAACTATGGATGCTTTCCAAACTTCTCTGGGTCCTTAACTTTATTGTCCTTGTGTTCTGCTGTCGTCCGCAAGAAGTTGTGGTACAAGGAGTTGGAAAGCGGGGCGCATCTTACTTAATAGAGGATTACTGACCGAACCCTTTTCTTGCACAGGCCGATTTCGCCCTCGCCCTCACGAAGCTTGACCTGGCCACTAGGCATCTACCGGCTGGAATCCGCACCTTCAGGTAGTGCCAATAAAAGCCCCTTCGCAATTTTCGTGGCCCCTGGTATATCTGCAAGCGAATGGAGCTGAGATCTAGAAGGCGGAGTTATGTAACCAGCTCCTCTGACATTCATAAAGTAAGAGGAACAGTCAACGCAGGACTGCAAACTGCTTGCAGCGCAGCGTTTTGCGGTAATCTTTGCATAGAAGCATTGCGGCGGCAGCTGATCACCAGGTTGCCCAAGCTGATCACCAGGTTGCCCAAGCTCTGAGGCCTTCTGGCATATTGATTGAGTCGGATGACCTTTGGTCCGACATAGCATGCAAAGCGATCGAGCTTGAAGCCCGCCGGCACCATGAAACGGATGCACGAAAACGCTGGCATGGATTAGGTATTATTCTGACACGAGAAACACGTACGTTCCAAAATTGTAGAATCGTCTTTGTAGATTAGTATGCTTTTGAGGACCCACGACAGCGTTTCACCTGATTGGTATGTTGACCTATCTGATTGATGCCCTAAGTTCTGGCATGGCGGCAAGCGCAGTACGTCGGAATGCATCATGCCAGTGCTTGCCGCGAACTTAGTAACATGCGCATGCATGTTACTTCGCGCCGCGTGGCAGCGTGATTGCACACGTTTATACTGGGCCAGATGGCATAATGAACGGGCCACGTTTACGTACATATCAGCTATAGTGCGCTTTTATACACGCAGTTTTGCCCGATCTAGATTTTTCATAAGCTCGTATAGATACCGTCACGTCGTATACTGATCATTCATACGCTGATTGCGCCCGCGAGTTTGCCGCATGGCAGCACATCATGTTCTACATTCATAAGGTCATGAGCCCAGTACCATACATGATATTGGCCTGGCCCGGTCTTCGACCTCGCACGTGCATGCGGCTGATTGAATTCGACACGCGAGCCACGGGAGCGCCTAGTCTTGCACACTTCTCGACCACGACATGAGTCCGGCGGTCACAAGTACAAACGTTCCCTAGAAGTGAAAACCTGGTGAGACGGATGGCTAGGCTCGTGCCAGACTCGTCGAATCGATTTTATTGAAAAGCATTCTGCTTCTGTAATTCGTAATGTTGATGGTTGGATCAGTTTTCTCAACGGGATCCGTTTTGTTCTATATCACTTGCACCTGTGTTGCAGTTTTCGACTCGTCTACCAGTGCTTGGAGGAGGCCAATTGCACCTCCATTATTGGACGCACAAGCTGTCCGAATTTGCTGCAACACGTCCTCTGCCGTACCTACATCCCCTTTCCTAACGTACTCCCTCACCAAGAAACCGAAAGTGCCAAAGGCAATATGGTCCGGGTCGAGGGTGATCCCCGCATCGATCACCCTTCGAAGGACACCTCGCGCGGCAGCCAAGTCGTCTGACTTCGTGTGCGCCCTCGCTACTAGACTGTACATCGAAAGACTTGGCTGCAAACTACCCGTGGCCGCCAGTTTCAGGACCTCCTCCGCCTCCGCTCCTTGACCGAGCTTCGCAAGCCCCTCCAACACTTTCGTATAGCTGGTGTTATTCGGGTGCAGCCCAATTTCCGTCATTTCCTTCAGGAGCTCGAGCGCTTCCAACGGGCTCCCCGCCTTGCAGTGCAGGTTGATCAGCGAATTGTAGAGCACCCGATCCGGCAAAACCTTCTCGTCCGCCATCTTGCTCGCGATCGCCAAGCCCCCCAATAAATCGTCGGCCCTCGCATACGCATGTACGAGCAGACTGAAATGGAAGGCGTTCGGACGAACCCCGGACGCCTTCATGTCGTCCAACAACCGCGCCGCGCTCCCGATGTCCCCTGCTTTCACATAAGCGCTCATCAGACCGCTATAGGTTATCGCGTCCGGCTGCAGGCCCGCTGCCGTCATCTCCTCTAAGAGCTTCACTGCCTGCTCGGGTCGTTGACTCGCGGCATAGCCTTTGAGCAGTGAGTTATAAGTGGGGACGTCTAACTCCACGCGCTGAGTCCGTACTTCTTCTAAGAGGGCGTCGAGCGCAGTCCAGGATTTCAGTCGGACCAGCAGGCTCGTGACCTTGTTCACGAGTTTTGATTCGTGCCAGTAGTTCCCTTGATCCAGGATGAATCGCAGAACCTGCACCAACCGTTTGGAAACTCCGGGTTGAGTTGGTTGATCGATTTGTGTGAAAGTCGAGTTAAGGATACTTTTTGGGGTATCACCTGCCTTGTCTAAGCAGGACAGTGCACACAGCAACAGAACAAATGCAAAACATGAGCGCTGATCGTTGTACGCAGCGGAGCAATACCTCTTGAGGCGTTAAATGGCACCTGTCAAGAGGGGAAAAGTACAGACATACACAATGTACCAGCAATGAAAGTTTCTGACACCTCCAAATCTGCTGAGTGGAGATTTGAAGATACAGTTAGTGTACCAACAGCATTCTCAGACATCTATAAGAAGCTCTTTTGAAAAGGCCTTCAACATATCGCGCACTGGAAGCGTTGCAATAAAGTGCAATAACCAGCGCTGCAGTTAAGTTCCAGCCTGATCTTCGAATTCAGGTCCTGCATTCATCTGCCAGAGGTTGTCTGATGTAAAGCGGTCAGAATGAACCCCGCCCCCCTAGAGCTTGGAACGATTACAAGGCTTCCGGATCCTCAGTCATTTGCCAGAGACCAATGAAATTGAATCCTGTCTTTCAGCAGGAAGATGAATTCTACTGGAGACAACTTGCGAGGTGAGCCCAGGCCAATTCCATACAGCCGATGAAGAATCACCAATTTGAAGCCCTTCAGAGACCTTTAGCACAGAGCAGCAGGACTTTGGCATGGGTGTTGTAAAGTCTCTCAAAGGCAGTCTTGCCAGAATTTCCGAGCCCTAATAAGGTGTCAGGTCTTTGTGTGCAGACTGCATTGAGCACTCAAAATCAGGTTCTTTGAAACTTTCCATTGCAACATGAAGCATCGGGTCGTTCCCCAACAGATTTCAAATGGCACACTTTACACACTATGCAGGAACTGAGAACCGGCGCTAACGCCAAACTAAACAGAATAAAGATCGAAGAAGACTGTAGCGGCAAATTTCTCACCATGATGCAACATCTCGCTTCCCCCCTCCTCTCAAACTCGTCGAGCGTGTTCACCACCAGCCCCCGGGAGACCCGCTCCAACCGGAGCAGAAGCGCTTTGACTGTTTCTGGATCCCTTTCCCGCCGCAGCAGCGCCATCGTCTCTACCACCTCCTTTGGAAGCCCCGCTCTCCAACCCAGCGGTTCGTCAGCTTTTCGCCGCCGCCAAGTGACGGGGGGTCTCCGAGTTTGCTGGCCTCCTCTCCCACTGGTGCTCGCCCCCCCATTCCGACTTGCACGGCCTTCATCGTCAGAAGACTTGGGAGCATAACCATCACTTCTTTCTCCGTTAGGCTTAGTGTCTCCCGCAATGCTGTCTGTGCGAGCTGCCTCCGGCGGCTGCAGGTGCTCACGTGCTGAGGTACTGCACTGAGGCGGTGTCAAGTGAAAGCCCTTCCTGTTTCGATGGCGGACAGCGGGCATCAAAGCCATCTGCTTACGTCCATTATAACTCTGTGTAAGACACGGAATTGGAAGACGAATACGTGCCAACTGCACTACTGCCAAACTGTGCTCGCTCCCGCACCTGCTCACGACACTGGCGTCATTCCTAGGCATACCCCATATGCCATGCCCCAAAGCTCCAAAAAAACCCTGTGCTACGCGGCTTCCCATCTGTACAAGCGTTCCAGCAACGGGCTTGGTTCCAAAGGTGGTGCTAACTCCGGAGAGAGGCACCACAACTGCCTCTTCTTTGGTGGAACAACAAATGCTGCATTGCAAACAAGGTGGAACACTCGGGGGAACAGGGTTCAGACTCTACTTAAATCCTGGAGAATGCAGGGCTAGCTAGCAAGAGGAAGAGGCGCCACCATGAAGTGAATGTGGGAGACTCCGAAGAGGCGAATGCAGACAACGTCTCTCGAGCTGCAACTCTATCAGTGTCAAGTATCTTATACCTATACCACAGTTTGCAAATCCATCCAGAGGTGTGAATATCCAGCAGTCATTACCGTTTATACTCCACGTCGATTTCAAAACGTTCCTGCGGAGTCCACTTGCAACCATTATCGCCTCACCAGAGTCCGTGCAGACTCCGTATTCACATCTTCGGTAACTCAGCTTGGACAGTGCTAGCTTAATGAAACCTTCAGGCTTCAGAGACTTTCTTCTTCTCAAGGACTTTCAGCAGAAGTCTGAGCCTCCTGTGCAGAGGCCGAAACACAGAGTATTATGGCGGTGCTGAGCAGGGGTTTCTGCAGCATGTGTTGGAGAAGATTGCCAAATTAAGGCAATCGTTGCAAGTGCTCAGGCTGCAAACACCTCGCATCAACCCACGCAGCGTCTAGTTCCCACCGCATCAAATTTTGAGAATTGAGCGTGCCTGCATCTGAAAGGCTGATTTTTCAACTTCATTTTTGCCAGCCTCTTTGGGGACAGCTTACCAATCACCATGGCACAGTCTGCGCTGCTCAAAACGAGCAGCATTGCCGGGATTGTCAGGGACAGCAACCACTTGTCACAGCTGGAGTCCACCGCTTCTTTTAGCCCTCTCTCAAGCAAACTCCCATTCCAGCATGGAGAGTCCTTCTTAGGAAATGGAACAGAACTTCGGCATTGCAAGCCGGTCAAAAAGTTGGTAGAGGCTCCGGAGCGAGCAACAGGTGTCTGCCGTGCGGAGGGGGGGTTTTTGGGGCGGATAGGCAGAGTTATCCAGGAAAAGGCAAAGAGTGATATTGATAGGTTGTTGTCGGGCACTGAGAAGACAAGGCAGAATCTGAAAGTGGTGGATGAGCTGCTCACATACTGGAAGTTGGAAGAGTCAGAAAACATTCTGGAAGAGTTAGAAGAGGTGAGTGTTCATTCGACAAAAACGTTGGATATGTAGAAAGGCAAGACACCTTCATGACGGCGTCGGGCCTGACAGCCAGTCTTTCTTTTGAAGAAGCGTCCTGGTTTCCCATTTCATCCTGCGCATGCAATCGTGTGGAAAGGCATTCCGGTGGTAGAAAGAGCCCTTCGGCCCGCGCAAAAGCGCTGTTCTTAACCTTGAATTTCCAGGAGTTCCAAGCCCCCCATCTTGTGTCCTTTGGGGGAGATGAACTGGGGCTACTCTTGAGAGGACTCCTGCTTTGGCTTGCTCTAGCGCCTGGCGTTCAGCTATTTGTATCAGAGTAGGCTTCTGGGAGCATACTGCAATTCGTTCAGCGCTCCTGAGGGGCAGGCAAACGCCGCAGCCCACTTTACACCACCCATCTTTCCACTCATCTCAAATCAAAACTGGGATCCTGATTCTTCATTGCTTTCCTTCTTATACTTGGAAGTACGTCTTGAGCATTCTGAATCGTTCGGTTTGTGACAATCTTTCTTTAATGTTCCTGCAATTTCAGGACAGTGGGGCAGTTTGCTTGCAGCGGAGCTTTGAGCCTGAATGCATGCCTTTTCTCCCCGGTCTGAGAATTTGGATGGTAGGCTCTTGTGTCCAAGCTGTCAACCATCTTGGACCGTCTACATCTCATGAAGCCTTCGAAGCTCACAGAAAATTCTCACATGATCATATTGTTCACTATGGGTTTGGTTTATTAAGCAGACAATATTGGTCTGTGTCAAGCACAACACCTTTTTTTGCAGGCTCTGCTGGTTGCTGACTTTGGCCCACGGACTAGTCTCAAAATCATTGATGCTATTAGGAAGGACATCCTGGCTGGGGAGATCAAAACGGGTGAAGAGATCAAGGTACGTCTACACTTCTCCTGTGTTTGCTCTGTTGTCCCCTTTGCACCCCTGCTTTTGGTATTTCAAGGGTCAACAACGTAGTTTGCTTTGCGACTGTTGTTGGATTAGAAGAAATGTCGACAGGTTAGCTTGCTGTGCCTCTCTGGTCGAAGTGAAAAGTACGATCTGAAGTACGGTCGAAGTTGCAACACACCAGTTGCATGTAGTACCTGGTCATCTAAAACGTCTGAGCACCGGCCGTTTGATACGGTGATGGAAGGGAGCCTTTCTGTTTCTAGGACCTTTTCCAACAGATGTGCGTCATTGAATCATTATTGCATACAAAACCATAGCTAACCATTCACTTGCCGTTTGAAAGTCGCCGGTGACTCAGTTCCAGGTCGAAGGGATTCGACCCGACATGTGTTCGTTTGAATCTTGATGGCGTGCCTAGAAGGGCTCGTTTCATATATGTAACTGCAAACGCAAACGCTTTTGCTGGTGCAGACTCGCCTGAAAGAGTCCATTGTTCGACTACTGACCAAGAAGGCCGGCTCAAGCGAGCTCCGCTTTGCAGCCCAGTAAGTTTGACTCCACTCTCAATCCCAGAATACCCCTGCGTCTAAAGGTTTCTCGTCTATGCTTTACTCCCTGAGCGCTTGGACTCCCTGCTTTTTTGTTCTTGAAGGGTTACCTGCTTCTGAGCCGCAAGTCACTTCACAGTGGCCACATGCTACTCAGCGACCAGAAAGAGCAGAGTCAGAATAGAATTCAGACGACTTCAGTGAAAGATGACGAGCTCGCAAGGATATACCACTGCTTTCTGCGGTTCGTTTGTCGCTGACATCTTTCACACTCTTACGTGAACTTGCCCAAAACATAGCTGACCACCTATTCTCCAGGGCCCCAACGGTCATCATGGTCGCCGGTGTCAACGGAGGGGGCAAAACAACGACGATAGGTAGGGGACCCAGACCCCTAGCCAATCAAATTGTTGCAGCCTTCGAAAGCAGTCGGAATTTTCATGCATGCTTCATCTCCTTGTTTAGATCTTATTCCCAAGCTTCGCAATCCTCTTGCCCGCCTCAGTTCCTATTGGATGCCTTTCCAGGCTTTGACACATCGTGGGAGAAAGCTCTAATTACCGGGCACTCTGGGCCGTGAAAGGACCTCAGGCTCTCTCCGTTCGACTTAGCAAAATGCATTGCGCATGCAGGGAAGTTGACGCACCGGCTGAAGAACGAGGGCAAGACCGTGATGATGGCGGCGGGCGACACTTTCCGGGCAGCGGCGGTGGAGCAGCTCGAGAAGTGGGCGGAACGGACGGGGGCCGAGTTCGTCAAGGGGGCGGGAGTCAAGTCGCGGCCGTCAGCAGGTATCGTTTCTCGCTAGGGCGCCTCCTCTGTTGCTGAGCGGGGATTGGGACGAAACGAAAGGTTCAGAGCTCACAGCTGCAGACGTACAGTAGCAAGAGGAATGAAGTTCAGAGGGCCGGGTTCTGAGACAGGTTGCTTGGAGGGTGGGAGTATCGAAGAAGGACTTGGAGATTCTGAAAATCGATGGCTCATTTGTGGAGGGGCGGGGGGTGAAGTCGACCTTAGTGACGCGGTAATAGAATCGCCGAGGCGAAGTAACGGGAAGCCACTTTCAGCATTGCCTGCGTTTTCACGATACTTTCTGGCCCTCATTGCGTCACTCTTCTTTGGCTCGTGCAGTGCTTGGACTTGCGTTGACGCAAGCCCGGTCAAAAGCCAACGCCGTCGACGTACTCATCTGCGACACTTCTGGACGTGAGTATCCCCACTCTCTACTCTTTTTTCTTTTCCTTTTCTTTTCGTTGTTGTTGTTGTTTGGGTCGAAGTGGCCAATCCTCATCAAATGTGACGTCGGGTGGTTCTCTCGGAGTACATGTAACTCCGGTTCTGCTCGATTGCGGGCAGCTACACAGTGGCCCCCTTTTGAAACGAAGGGTTTGGTAAATCTGCACTAAATTATCTTGAATCCCCAATCCGCTTATGACAGCGTTATGACAACGTTATGGCAACATTATGCCAGCACGAACCAGGCCTCCAGCGTTTTCCTCTTGCCTTTGCTTGCTGCTTGTGTGCTCCACCGGAGTTGGTGCGATTTAGTCAGCTTACGCACTAGCTCGATCAAGTGAGAAGTGCGTAGGTTATGCCTTTCGAACTGCCTGTGTCCGAAAGGTTCAAGAACCTTGCCTGCGCAGAGGTGGCAAGAAGAATACTATTTTGGTCCGTTAGTTTGCGAATGCGAATGCTGCTCTTGGCCGGCTTTTTGCCCTTGCGCGGTCCGTTGTTACCTAAACATCATCATGCCAACATGCACACGCTTTGCATTCTTTTTGAATATACGAACAGATTTTGGCTTTGAAGCGTCAGGCGCTGCTTCTGCGGCTTTCGCTCGTTTCCTGGTTTGTGAGGCGGGGTTCAGTCGTGTGCAAAGAAAGTTCGACCTTTGCAGCCCCACTAACTCTTCAACCTGGTACACGTGGGAACGTGCTTTGCAAGAGCTTCAATTAGAGAAGGCATTTCTGACATAGATGCGACGTCGAGCGTAGAAACCAATCTGTTGCATGACTTTCTGGATGCTTGATGTTACCAGCGGTACAGAGCTTTTCCGGGCTGCCTTTCTTCGTGTCCTTAGACGTGATCACCGGCATGTCCTAATCTGCCGACTGAAGGACGATCATGCTGCGGATCGAGCGTAGCATCCCGAGTTGTCAATAATGTTTGACGATTGCCGCCAACTTCTTTTCGTGCGTCTGTCTTAGTCTGCTTTCGAAAGTTCCCGTTTTTCTCGTTGCACGTTTCGTCGTCGTTCCAGCAAGCTCTGAGACCAACCTTCACTTGGATTGGCATTCTGGTTGTTTCTTTTGCTGCCGTGCCCACATCCACTTCGCCACTTAGATGTTCTTGTCACGTCCATCACTCTAGTTCTTCATGTCACATTACGACCTGTCAAGCATTGCCGGAACTTGATCACTTATCAGGCCAGGAGTTTCATATCTCGTTTGCGACCCGCTTTCTGGTCAGTAGTTCTGGCAGGCGTACTGCGCGCCACTGCAAACGCAATTCGTGCCTTGTTAACAAGACGCTTTCTTCATAACCTTCGTTTTATGAGCATCTTGAGAGCACTAAGCGAGAAAGACTGGGAACGGAGCTTCTGTTGCTTTGGCGATCAGGGACCTGCGTAGTGGCACTGCATACATCGACTTGCTTTTTCCCGGGAAAGCTGACTGGCGCTCAATTGAGCAGCACTGAGAGGTCCATGGCTGACGAGGAAGTACTCATTCCAACTGTGTCACGTTGATTGTGCCACCTTTTGACCGTTTCGATGTGAGCCGCCTGTCTTCTGGATGGTCTTCTTCCCTAGCATCTTCAAGCATCCGGTGCTGTCCTGCAGCCGGAAAATATCCTGACTGCTCAGGTCGAACCGGCGAAGGCTTTTGGCAGCAGATACCCCGCTTGGCACGATGGCTTAATGCAGCTTCTTTTCCGCAGTGATTGAAACAGACTCTTGCAAAAGCCGGGCAACCAACTTGCACTCTATCCATCGGGCTGGCAGCACTGAAGTTGCAGAGCCTGGTGCTTTACTCGCCACAGTTCTTCTTTACTCTGAGCCAGGCAGTCCAATTTTGGTGTTGAGTTTCTAGCATCAGCTGACCCACATTAGAATTGAGGCCATGCTTTCTTAACAAGCCGCACGCTTCGAACACGTCGTAGCACGTGCTGACTCCAATGACAGTCAGTTTCTGCTTTCGGCTGCAACCTCTTATGTGTCAGCGAGCGGAGTTTTTGTAATATATAGAAGCGGCTACCAGCCTAATACTGAAGCGCCCAACATTTTGGCATGGGAGATAAGGCTCGTCTTTGGCGGTGCATCGTTGCTTGCAAGTGCTTGCGCTGCGAGAACGGTCAGGCTGCTCTGTTTTTCGACTGATTGCTCAATCTGTAGGTATTTTTGAGTGGAATTATCATTGCGCCTGTAGTGTAACGAGTACTTGCATGGCAAGGACGACTGCTTCGCTGGCGGAACTTGGCTCCTTGGCCAGAAAAGAACCGTCCGCTCTTAGCCACCTGTCCGGGCTGTCCAATCTAGATGCGCATCACTTGGCCTCCAACTGCATCTGCTCTCATGGGTTGAGAAAGGTTCTGAAGCGCGTCTTTTGGGAGATTCGAAGTGCCTCTTTGCGGGCCCATATTGCCAGAATTGGGAGCACGGTCAAGCCTGCGCTTACCATTCTCATCCCGAGAATCGGTTGCGTCCAACCGTTCCCCTAGCTCGACAAAGCTGCCTTTATCCGTGCACAACCCAAGGAAGCTGCGGGTCTTCTACTGCTAGTGCCGGTTAATTGCATCATCGTACGGCAGACTGCTACGTGATTTCTCCGAATCTCTCCTCGAGCAACTCATTGCGACTGTGCAAAGCTTCGTCCAGTGATCAAACCGCATTTTTGTACGTATCTCTGCTCAACCCCCTTGGGACTCGTTATGGTGAGCGAGTGAGCGCTGACGAAGTGACGAGTTTGGCAAGGAAGACGGTGGTACTGGGGTTGCGAGCCTCATCGTTGAATGTCTACCACTGAGCTACTCCTATCCGCTTTTCCGCAATGTTTGTGTCTAAGGACGGGTAGCTTCGTCAACTCTCAATCAAACCCTTCTGCCTGGAACGGCCAATGTTATTTGGTGGCTTCTTGCGCTGCTCTAGTAGGAAGACTTCGCCGCTGACATGTGCCAGTACTGCGCACGGAAAAAATTGTCGCTTTCTGGGAGTCAAGAGAGTTCGAGAGAAGATTTGGTTTGTTTGTAGCGCTGGAGGGTGTGGATACAAAGGAAGTTCGAAGCATGTCGTATTTGCAGCTTCCAAAAGGATCCTAGTCGCTCATTTTTTATGATCGAAAGCCCTTGCTTCGGCCATCTTTTCTAAAACCAGTTTCGGTCCCGCCTGACCAGACGGTGGTGCTTGTTGCCTTCGAGAAGCCGGTCTGCCCCAGCTCGTCTTTTGAAAACAAGGAGCGAGAAATCCGATCAACCCGTCATTCTGCTGGAACGGTGGCGGAAGGCTTTTCAGCTGATCCAGTAATCTTCGCAGCGAGTCTTTACCATCTTACCGCGAATGCAAGGCTCCAGCTTTTGAGATGCTGGAAACCTGGGCATACTCTGCCGGTGGCTATGAGGACGTTCGTACTGGCACGATACTCCTTCGCCAATGTAGGCACGTCAATGAGCCATTTTATGAGTACGTCCCCCGACGTTGGCAGAATGCGCGTCGCTCATCCGCTCATTTGAAGGTCAACGACTGGTTTCCGCATGGCTGACCTGCATCAGACAAGGTCACTGGAAGAGGCTTGAAGCCTTTGTTTCAAAGCTTTACAGTGACTTAGCTTACATCCCCTTTGTTGACTTGACGTTCCTCCTCTTGGGTACTGCCAAAGCACGGAGCTCTCATTGTGCTGACTGCATGTATGTGGCTGAACCATGTGCTTTCGGTTGTCATCCCTATTGACACATGTTTTCTGATTTTTGCGCCAGGGCTTTGCGTCTGAGTGTCGTCTGCAAAGCTCTGTGTGACTCGTTTCGCTTGGGCTCGAGTTGCGGCCTAGGAGGATCTGCAGCCCCTACGACGTTGATTGGAACTCTTTTGGCCGAATTTAATCTATCATCGGTGCAGCCAACACCACTTACCCACAGCGCTGAAACGTTATTCTGAACTGGGGCCTTCTAAAATTGTTCATCTGGTCAAACTAATTTGCAGTAGTTCTTAAAATAGCAATATACCTCTTCTCAGCATGATGAGGAATGGGGCATCGCTAACGCTTCGCTGTTGCTGCATACAGGGCTGCACACAAATACGAACCTGATGGACGAGTTGAAGGCCTGCAAGCGAGCGCTGGCCAAGCAAATGCCGGACGCGCCGCATGTAAGCCCTCTCGAACGGCCTAGAATCGAGTTTGCCGTTGACCTTTGGTATGGGGCTCGCACCTGACCTCGCATGTGACAGACTGCGGGAGTCCTGAATGTATTCTGTAAGCTGGATTTCGTCCAAAAAGTGCTGCGCAAAGCTAAGTCATGTCGCGCGATCTGAGTCTGATTCGACGTTCGTTTGTCCTTACATGCCCTCCGTAAGCTCCCCAGAATACTAGTGGCTCTGCACAGTCGAACAAACTCCTGCAAGCTTTAGGTCTTTGCTAATGGGCTTGTGTGCCCCCCTGCACTGGTCATAGTAGTCCCTTGTTTCCGAGTCGCTGCTTGTGCGAGCACCCACAATGGAAACCGTTCGTAATTTGCTGTGGTGACGAGGCCTCCAAAATACTGAGCACGAGTGGATTGAAACCACGTGTTGCAGTATTTCGTAAAGTCCACCTTTGAGTGCGCTGACTCCGTCCCTTCTGTGTTCGATGATATCTTCAGTCTGTCAAGATCAGATTGTTCACTTGTTGCCTCCGCCCCGCAGGAGGTGCTCCTTGTTTTGGACGGGACGACAGGGCTCAACATGCTGCCGCAGGCGCGGGAGTTCAATGAGGTGAGCCAGGTGTCCCTCTCTTTGGCCATTTGTCACTCTCCATTGTCACATGTCGCTCTTTTCGCCTATCCCTCATTGTTCTGCTCCCACTTGACACCGTGTCTTTCCCACAGATTTGTACCATCTTTTTGTCTTGCAATCGCTGTCGGTGAGCTTTTGACCGCCAGTATTGCCGGTATGTTGTGAGCAGTGGTGATGCTTTTGAAGATCCATCTCTTGCAGAACCTGAAATGGCCTTGTGTTTTTGACGTTTTATCTTTTGCATCCTGCAGTATGTCGGGATCACCGGGTTCGTGCTGACGAAGCTGGACGGGACGTCCAGGGGCGGATGCGTAGTAAGTCCGCCAGCATCTACCAGCCCTTTGTGTGTACCACAAAGTATATAACGGCTGTTGGAATGGCGGGTCTTTGGCTTGAGTACGGCCACTTCGAATTCTGGCGCGATTTCCTGGCGCAAAACCCTGGGCAGTTTGACCGTCGCAAGTGATCCGTGGCAAACACTTCGTCGGTTCAGAAAATATACCAGTGCACTTTCCGAGAGTCAAGTTGCAAGGCTCGATGAAGAACGTTTCTCCCGTTGGAATACTGAATTGAGAACACCACCGCTCATCTTGACTTGAAACACCATGGCTCATCTTGAAAACGGACCTTCTGGCATGGTTTTAGCCAGCTACCAGTCCGGTCTGGCAAAACCTCAAAGATGTGACGAGAAAGCGCCAGTCATCTCGCAAGGATTTGAACCGAGTTTGATCAAAGAAGCGGAAAAGGACAGACGTGTCACGTTCGTCCATCGTTCTGGTGCGTGGGTCCGAAATGGAAACGATGTACTTGGACTGAAACGACGTGCTTATTGTTTCAGGTGAGCGTGGTCGACGAGTTGGGCATCCCCGTCAAGTTCGTCGGCGTCGGGGAGGCCCTAGAAGACTTGCAACCGTTCGATGCTGACGCGTACGTAGAGGCACTGTTTCCCAGGATATGAGGTGACCCGGTTCTTGTTGGTGCCGCTCAAAAGATGATAATACTTGTGGAACAAATCTTGTAACAGGCCCTTGTATACCGTTCAACCAATAAGATAGCGACTGCGGCGTTCAAGAGGGAAAGCACTGAGCACTCACAAGTCGTGAATACGCTTTCCCATCGATTGGCTTGTATGCGACGCCCCGCAAGTATCCGCAAGCTACGGTTTACCGTCCTGCTTTCACCGAGCAATTCGTGCTGACTCTGTGAAGGGTTCGATCCTCAAGCTTGGACAAGTAGTCGGTAGCGACGAAGACGTTCCACTTTGGCAATTTGGCGTGACAGCCCTTCGTCAAAGCCTCTACTGTCTTGGTCTGAGCTACCTTTCCTTCCTGGGTTAATCACTGTGAGTCAGCTTGTTCATTGCTGCAAGCAGCCGGGTTGTGAAAGAATTGTCGGTGAAAGCAACTGCCGAAGCATGCTTTCACGGGCGTGGACCTCTGCTTTTGTCCGCCAGAGCTATCTTGCGTAAGACCTTATTGGTAGAGACAAGGTCTTGCTGCGTGTGTAGAAATTGTTTTAGATACTCGCGGAGTCCAAAAAGGCCGCGGCAGGGATTGTTCAAGCGAGTGGGGCTAAAAGCCGCACAGCTTTTCGAACTAGAAGTTGAGCCGCTGTCCTTGCTTTCCTTCGCTTTTCTTTCCCTTGCTTGCGACTTGCAGTCCTTTTTTCTAGCATAGTCTTCGACTTTGATCGCCAGTGATTCTGTTAGACCAACTTTCGTTGTTCGCCCCGTTTGGGCGCGCTAAATGACGAAGGCGGCCCGTTCTCACGAAAGTTTTGGGCAGATTCGTCTCCTTTCCGGACACCCGTTTTTGGTTGGGGTAACCAGAATCAGCATTGGTTGTTCTTTTCGATAGCCCCGGGAGATGCTTGGTACAGCCGTGCTTGTGTCCTACGGCTGTACTTAACTGCTTTGCTTGATTCCTCTAGTCTATCTCAATCTCCCAACTGCTCTATTCTAACGAGTTGTTCGGATGAGTCCGCATTCACACGCAAAGCCAAACGCATCGGCTCAGCTTTGCGCCCAGTCACTTATTCAGGCGAGTCTTCGCTTTACGTGCGTTGCGCCCTCCGCAGATCTTCTCGACGTTACCACTAGCAGGTTTTGAGTGAATCTTGCTTTTCTGCTCGCTGCCATTCGATGCGCGGCACAGTGCCAGAATCGGGAAAAATTGGCAGCTCGTTAGTTGCGTTCGTTGTTGGCAGTTCCTGGACGTGGCAAAGACATGCAATGCAACAGTATTGAGCTGAGACCAGGCAACAACGGTGGCGCCACAAGACGCGTCAGTATTCCTGTGGTCTTCAGCAGAAAATTGCGTTGGTGCTTTAGTCGCGTTTCTCGATTGGAAGTTGATGATTAAACCCTCGTTAGTGAAGGCAGATCCCGACAATAATTGAAGCAAGTTTCTCACCCACCCATCAAGCCATTGGTCTGGTTGCCGAAATTTTGTCCGCTCATGGACGTCGCGAGAGGGCGATTCCCATCTCCTCGTCTGTGCCAGACATGTTTGCGAGGGTCTACGTTGGGTCGTTGTGAGAAGTAGCCAAGAGTTTGCTTGGGTAACACCACTGCAATTGGCAGAGAGTTATGGGGAGACAGAAAACTAGGATTTCAGAGTTGACACTTTCGTCGTGTCACCGTTGACTTCTCGCCTTGAGCCGCCAGTCTTATTGCAGATTGGCTGTTCGCGTCTGGGATCCGCAGCTGAACTACAGTTTAAGCTTCTGACATTTTGCATTAGTAGCTACGGTTAGCTCTTTCACTTGCGTGCGAGTTGGCGAGTTTTGGGGCTGGTCACCTAACCTTTGGTTCTTGACTAGGTAATTCCCAGCTTAATTACATACGCTTCTGACCCAAGAGCGACGTATGACCAGAAAGCCTTTGTTGGACTACTTTACGGCCCCTATGTTGGCCTAACACCTTTGCTTAAACGTCCGCAGGCAGCGACTCCTGTTCACCGACAGGACACTGATATAGTGAGCCACCGGTCATCTGGCCGCCGGCTTCTCTTTCCAATTATACGACAGGAACTATCATAGGCAAGTGAAAGCTATCTTGATCTGACTCTCTAGCCGCAATGTCTAAGCGTTGGGTCGACCATGCAATCACTGCCCGTCTCGAGTTGCAAGTAACTTGACGTATCCAGTCTCAAGTAGGTGACAAGCAGGCGAATGTTGCCAGCGCAATGGACATTTTGCACGTGGCTTCTCTCAAAGCCGCGCTTTGACCCAGACGTTCGTGTGGCCAAGTCGACGACCTGTGAGCTGCTGGTTTGCCTGACTTGCGTTTTCTCGTCCTTGCTTACAGTACGCTCATCAGACATATGGGAAGGATGATGCAGAACGTGGTTGGTTCGTTGCGGACCACACTTGTTTGTGCATGTCCATGAGCCCATTGATTCCTCCTCTGCAGCCTCAAGACTTCGGAGGCCGGGAATCCCAACATTCGTATTCATTTTGCGGTTGACCTGTGAACCATATCGTTGTGTCGCCGGCTTTTGTCATGGTTATTTCTTGTGCGGCCCTGGATCTCCTTTGGTTGGTGGATTTCTCTTATCCGGCGGCGAGCTGCGACTTGAAGTGCAAGATGTTTGACACTGGGTACACACTGATCGCGTGCACGCACGAGCCCTGAAAGCCTTCTGTCTAGCCGTTGATATTGGCTGTCTCATCATACGTGCCGCTTTTGCCGCGTTTTTTGTCCAATTCCGCTCCCAAAAGCCGCAAACATTTTCATCCACGTACTCAAGGACGCTCGCCGAAAGCTTGTGCGTGGCAAGGAGGACTTCATCGTGGGGCAACAACCCAGATCGGGCCTTGGACCGTTGGAAGGTTTGTACCAAGCCGCGCTCCCAAGCATCCCCGATCAAATTGCCCACTCTGCCTACTGTCATCTACGTACCTCTTGAATCATCGAAAGGTCTTTGCGCCTCTCTGAGATTCCCGTTCTCTCGCGGCCAACAAACGCTGCAAACTAGGGTTGTCGGCATCGCCGTTTGGACGGTCGCGAAGCTTTTTTGTCAGCGTTTCTTCTCACGCGGGCGCGGCGTGGAGCGATCCTCGGGTTTGAGTTTCGGCTCTCCAGCGAATCGCTCACAGCCACCAATTTATAGCTATGGAAAATTCTCGACACTTGAATCACCCCAAAACCTTAAAACGCAAACCTGATACTTTTCACTTCTCCATACTTAGCCTGATAATTTTATGTTAGATCTTAGGATCTTCGTCTCCATCTTACGTTGCTGTTCCAAACTTGTAATCTGCTTTTTTGGTCGTTGTCTCGCCGTCTTCCAGTGCGTCTCGAACGCGCGCTTCAATAACCCTTGTCAGGCAGGTGCGTGCTGGCTTCCAAGAGTGGCGGCCGCTGGCAAGCGCGTTACAGATTAAGCTCGGCCTCACAGAGTACGGGCACTGTACTGATTAGCAATTTCAAAAGTGCGTTCGACAAGGAAACAATGGCAATGTGCAGAATGTAACTGGTGCTGTGCTAACGAAATGTGCCAGATAAACGAAGAACCTCTGGAGCCTCTTGCTTCGTGAAGCCGGCTTTCCTGACATTGAAACGTGGGAATCACCTATTCATATGCCCTTCTACTCAAGTTTGACCGCCTTTTGAGTTGCGCGCAGCATGCTTACTCGAGCTACATCGGCTTGAAATCAGTAGTAAGATTGACCGAACCCACCCTCGATCATGGTCTAAGCAGGGCGCCTTTCCAAAGTGAAGCTGACCCACGCGTGCGAGTGCTTTGATAAGGTTCTGAAGCGGATGCAGAGAGGGCCAGCGTGGCTGTGATAAGCTCAGCGCAGTGGCACAAGGCGTGCCAGGCGCAGTCCACGATGATTGTGTTTAGACGCCATGTGGCGCTCCATGAAGTAGGTGCAAGGTACCGCGCGAGAACGAAGGACCGCCGTTTCTGACCGTCGACAACGGCGCGCCGGCCAACATGGCTAGGTGACTCGTCGATTAAGCTTGTGACGAGATTGTTTTGATTCTTACGTTTCCTGATTGGGCTACTTGGATATTATGCACTTGACCTTTGAAGTCGTTTGGGTTCGCATCCGTTGAGAAGCATCGTACGAGCTAGCTAGGCACTACATGCAGTGGCAAGGAAGCGTAAGTTCAAAGTAATGACACGTTCTTGGTGCCATTGAGAAATTCCTGAAGTGAGCCACCTTTCGCACTACTTATCAGTTCGGGAAAGTGTACGCCCCAGCTGCAGTGGGCGAATGGAGTAGGGATGGCCGTCGCGATCGAAAACCGGATTTTAGGTTCTGACTTCTGCTCTGCAAAGAATCTTCATTCGTTCTGTGGTCCACCTTATTCTGCTTAGCTTACAATCCTGCGCTATTGCACAGCGAGTTTGTTCTGCTTTAAGTAGGGCGTGAGCGGACGCAGCCCCATGCATGAAAACTCATAGGGCGACTGCTCAACGGGGCCTTTCTCCTGTCGTGTCGTTAAGAGGAGAGTGCCAAGGCTTCCATCCCCGAGCTTGCAGCGCTGGTAACTTGTGACCGGGGTTGACTCGTGACCGCCCAGTTGACATGACAGCCCTCTTTAGCCTGCACAAGGATGCTCAAAGGAAGCACTCCGGAAAGCTTTCCGTCCCGCTTCTCAAATTCTCTGACTTGCGGTAGCTTCAGCCGAGCTTGTTTGAAAGTCTTATTTCTACAACCAGGAGCAGTAATCTGACGACGTAAGCATTGTCCAATTGGCGACAGCTCTATTTCACAGCTTCGCGCGTGTGGCTATGATCTATGGGCTACTTTGGGGCTGTATCTCCATTGAAGGCCAAATTGAAGGCCACCTTTCGCTTCGCATGTCTGTAAGAGGGTCGTGCTCCGATTGCCCGATCACTTCTCTCAAGCTCCTTTCCGGAGAAGCTGGTGGGTGTGTTAAAATTCGTTTGGTTTCTTCTTCGAAACCTGTACACAGATTTTCGCGCTTCCTTTTCCTGGAAAAGCCCTGCCCATCATCACGAAAGGGCTAAACGGACGCAAAACTCCGCTTAGAAAGGTTGAAGCTAGCACACGCGCTCATTCTTTGATAAGACCAGCGGTCATACTTTGCACATCTTTACGTTTGCACGGAAACTTACAAGAACCGAAGTGGCCAGGACGACTTTCTTGCCGGCTGCAGATCTCACCTCTGCACATTTTGACCAAAGCCTCCGTTCCGAGCCAATCCTCTCGTGCAGCGATGCCATAACCTGACTATGCTAATCGGC